TAGCAGACCCTTTCCGTAAACATGCCCTCCCGAGCTCCTGAGACTTCAAAGTAACTACGGGTTCAATGGAAGGCTAACATTCGCCAGGAACGCCGCAAGAAGACCCAGAGGGGCAATAAAACAACAGAACGGACATCTGTGTGCCCTTCTGCCGGACAGAGATCAGGAATCATTCATCAGCGATCGCTCATGGGACATTCCACAACCTGAGACTCACCCACGGCGTTCTGGCGCCCCCCAGTGGACACTGAACACCATCACACCCGGCCCGGACATTCTGTAGACCAGCCCGGACTCAGTGTTATTCCGATAAGTCTGTACCGTGCCCTACATGTGTGTACCATTGGCAAGTAATGAAATGTGGTGTGTGTTTGTACATGTGTTATGATCGTCTGTATTAATCCTGTGTGTTCCCATTATAACCCATCTGTTGTGAGGAGGTTGTCCAAGGAAGACGCACAAATATGACGTGAAGGACGCGCCCCTCCAGAAGTCAATATAAACACTCGCCATGCAACAGAACTTTCTCTTGGTTCCCCCGAAATCACTCTTGCAACCATCCCTTTTGGTACGTGTCTCCTACACGGCCTAGGCCCGCCACCATCTCGGGCCTGTACATCCACGGGACAGCAATCACTCTCGCTGTCGGAGACGAGGACCTTCCATCGCCAGCCACTTTCGGGCTCCCTGGAACACCCCACCGCAACGCTATTCTAGACCGTGTTGTGTGTGTGAAACCCACGCCGGGATCCGATCTGCTGGGTTCCTCCTGCTCCCCGTTCGAACAAAGACCACGTGGACGAGAACATCGCCTCCATCCTATTCTTCATTCTCATCCTCCCATCTCCATTCTCCATCCTCCTCTTTTCATCAACATCTCCCATGATGAAATGATGTGCATAACAATATTTGCTTAATGTGACCAGAAATCCCCTTCGTTATATTTTCTATCTTCATTTTGTAGTCAATAAAACCCCTTTACTTTTAACTCAATCATTTAAGCGTCGTGTTGTTAAATTTTGGATATCCCTGGCCGATTTTCGTACTCAACCCATCAGATTTGTGATACTGGTATCGAGGCAAATATCCCTGGGTCTGTCGTAGACCCTCAAACGTCTACTGGTGCCCAAAATAAATAAGACAGATCCATTGGTGGAACGGCGAGTTTCTGATCCGGAGACTAGCCGCTCCACACTACTAAATTTAAGCTACGCTACATATTATTACCCTACAATTATAAGAAATCTAGTAAGCTGTTTTCAAGGACTTTCCCCATAAATGGCAAATTTGAGATGAATTTGCCAGAATGAAGGGACATGTTAACTATCTGTGTGAGTGAAGGTAACAGACTGCTCAGAACATACTTTAGAAATCTAGTGGGTAGTACATCTAGGCTGCATGTGGAGGAACTCAGACTTGTCATTATTTCTTGGAAAGATTTATCATATATTCAAATCACCTGTAATGATTAAACCATCAAAGCGTGCACACAACTGAAAGCAATTCTGTAAAATGATCCAAAACTAATGACATGATTGCGGCGGCTTGTGCAGGACAATGAAGAGCATTGGAGGAGATTGTTTTTAATGTAAATAGTGTGAGTAATGAGACTTTCCAGTTGCCTGCTGCAAAACAGCCATGGGATATTTAAAACTAATTAAATGGACAATACATTTTCTAGGGATGATTTAATCATACTAATAAAGGATTGAATAATAGGAGGAGTAAAGGCAAGATGTTTAAGAAACTCCTGTTTTTGACATTATATCTCTTTTAAAACATATTTCAGTTACTTTTTGAACTAAGAAGAGAGAGTGAAGCACATGCTCACCCCCTCCAGCTACTTGATTTAATTAAATTAATTTAAATCTATGTAGGGTGAGAAAATGTCGATATCACACATAACTTAAGTTATGTACCTGATATCGGAGAATTGGATCAAAAACAACCATGTAATAAATACAATAATTGATAATAGCTTTATTTAGGGGCACCAGGGAATAACTCCCAACTGATAACGTGCATATGACGTCACAATATCAATTAATTGGCTCATTTATTGATTAAGTAATCTCATGAGTCCTTTCATTATTTAATTAGCTAGTTAGTCCAATTCTCTTCAATAGAATCTGAAGGTAGTGAATTCTTTTACCCAATTTCCCATGACCCAATTTCTGGAGTTAAAAGTACAAATATCACTTTCAGACAAAGATGGTTTTGTAGATTTAATGAAGTATACACAATATAGACTAGATATGAAATATGCAAATTGTCAAGAATAACATGAAGGAAATGTTGATTTCAAGATACATTGTTAAAATGCTAGGCTAAAGTGAGCTAAGCAAGACCTTTGTCTATGAATGGATTGGTATAGGCTGAGGCCTGCATGTGTTCAGCCTTGGTAAGAGAAGTATTCTTTGAAGTATAGGTTTTAATAAAGCCAACAACTGTGTGTAGCAAGAGAGCAGATCATACAACCAGAATAGCCTTTGGTGAATAGCAGTCCTTGGGTCTTGATGGTGTTGGATGGAGGCTTCTTGTCCACGGGGCCTGGACCATGCGGCTGCATCATGTGGCTGAACCAAGTCCTCCCACGATCCACAGTCTAGGTGCCAAAACTCAGCAACTTCTTCAGGTTGAAGCTGGAGGCTATTGAAGGGTTGTGGAAGTCCTCTCAAACGTGGAGCTGAGGTTTGAGGCCATCTAAGAGGCCCAAAGCCCCTTGGTTGCCTGAGCAGAGCCCAGGGCAGAGCCCAGCGAGGTCTGGTCAATCCGTGGTTCCAAAGCAGACTGGTTTGTCTTCCCTGTGGGTCCTTGTAAGTCTTCACATCTTGTAGAGTCGTTGGGGGAAGGGTGTTGCCATGGCACTTATCTTAATAAATTCTTACCCACAATAAAACCTGAACCACAAGGATTTACACACAGTGGATACAGAAGTTATAATATGTCTCAAAATACAACAAAATGTCTTTGATTGAGGAAAGAGGTCATTTTAATTTCTCCTACAACCCCCCCTTTTGTGTCCAGCTCCGCAAACAAAGCGAGAGGTTGACACAACATAATTTTGATTATGACCGAACGTTCACTGTCCAAGTTCTTTACGGGGCAGAGCTCTCAGTAGGAGGCGGAGTTCTCAGTTAATTTCTCCTACATCTACGAGGCCCATCATCATCCAGAAAATCACACTGGTCATAATCAAGGGGAGGAACTGTTGTAAATATATCCCTGTTGAAAAATACTTTTAAGTATGGCCAATATTTGAAGTGTGCGAGTAAAACAGGACTAACAGATAAATTGAGCAACTGTAAGTCAGCTCAATCAAACACATCGTAGTAATCACTCAAACAAAGAAATGAAGGACGTGCATTTACACATCCAGCCCCACTGAGTTATTTCATTCACGGACTGAATGAAATCCTCTGAAACACATACTGGATAAGTGGAGCCAGAGTTACACAAGCACAGAACTGCTGACCGGACATGTAGACAAACAAACAGGCCAGGGTTTACCACCAAAAATAGCACAATCACAATTGTGGAGCATGTCCCTTTATTGGGTGCTTTGGCTAACTAGAAAGTAAGTAAGTAAGTAAGGTTTATTTATAAAGCGCATTTTACAGATCAAGGTCACCCAAAGCGCTTTACAATTGTTCAGAGCTCAGATATCCATTCTTTCCACACACGGTGATGACGGAAACAAATCATCACCGTGTGATGACTAGGCACGTCAATGGGTATATTGGGACAAAAATGGATACAGCTTAGTCAGTTATTTTCAGTATCGATGTAGGTATTATGAAAGACAAAAAAAGTTTATAATGAAGAGTTTATAATACTGTTTTTGTTTTAGTGATAATTCTTGCATCTGTATCATTAGGAATTGAGCATAGCCTCATTAATGATGTTGTAAACACAGGTCTTGATTTGAGTAAATTTTATATGTGATGTATAAAATAAGTGTGCTCATTGTGTTAGCTTTAGGGCAGAATATTGTCAGCTAATCAGTAATCAATTTCTGAACCATACAATATTCTGAGAAGAGGTTTTCTTAAAAAAGTAACTGCACTAACAAAGCAAATGACCCAGAGTTCAATTTAAATGGCAAAAACACAAATCGAAGAAGCAAGAATCGAGTTGGCGACATTAGCGACAATTTTTATGAGAGTAAGATGAAAATTTACAAACACTTTGGCATAATTCAACCCAGAGAATGAATTGAGATGAGCCAATGCGACGTGGCCCATTTCTGTTTATATCTCTCTGGGGAGATAGGGATTTTCTAACCCCAGTTTGCAAATTACTGGTGATGTTGGGTAATGAGTCAGATGTGAAAGTTTGAGCAATTACCTACAAGCCATGTCATGAATAATTAAAAAACATAGCAATGGCCAGCTAGGTTCCAAAATGCTTTATGTTTTTTAAAACTTCCCTTCCTAAAATGTCAAATTTAGCTAATAAACAATTCAAATTCTAATTGATTATTGAATTGAATTAAAAAGCAATAAGAATTCTTCATCTGCAATATCCAAAACCTTCATAATTCAGCTTTTGGTTTGTAATCTTAACCTTATTTCCAAAATTTTCATTAACACTCAATGTTCTCAAAGCCACATTTGCTTGCCTTTGCTGGATGCGGAATGCGTGGACGCATCATTTTATTTTTAGAGAAAGTAAGTATTCCTCTAATTTTCCTAAAGTAACTATTATTTTTTTAGTTTTTTCTTATCGTGATTATTTGCTTGAATGATCTATTCTTTATGTCACTTGAATTATCATTTTAATACTCTTATCATCGCACTGGACAAACCAGTAGTTTCTTTCACAGCGAGCAAGCAAGCAGGCAACAAGCTAACGCTATCGTTTTTCCAATGCTACTTACATGGCCAAGTAAAGTTGGTTACACAAATTAATCATGCGTTTAAAAAAATTATGGCATTAATATTGATATGCGTTACAGTGACTCCATTAAATGTGTTCCATTACTCCCCAACACTGCTTACCATATATTTTCTGTATCCCCAGCAGGTCATCCATGGGCAGCTTGAAGTTGTCCGTGTCCATGTACTGGTAGAAGGGCGCCATAATGGCTGTGGGGTCGTTGGAGTGTTCTAGCCCCAACGCGTGGCCGAGCTCATGAACAGCAACCAGGAACAAGTCGTTTCCTAAAAAACAGATGGAGAAGTGCTGTTAACATTACAATCGTCCTGTTGTACGCTCACTGGGAAATAAGATGGACGAACTCGGCCTGCTCATGAGAAGAAACAAGGACTTCGCCACATCCTGTGTCCTCTGCTTCACTGAGACCTGGCTAAATGAGCGGATCCCGGACAGTGCTCTGGAACTGCAGGGCTTTGAGCTATTCCGCGCGGATCGCCATTGTGCGCTAACAGGAAAGAGCAGAGGCGGAGGGCTCTGTTTCTACGTCAATACAAACTGATGTAACAATGTGACAGTGATCTCCAAGCACTGTTCTCCTGCTGTGGAATATCTTTTCCTTCATTGTAAACCGTTTTACTCCCCTCGAGAGTTTGTTTCATTCATTCTTGCCTCTGTTTACATACCGCCATGCGCGGACGCGCGCGAGGCTCAGCGTGCACTCGCAGAGCAAGTACTGTGTATGGAGCATTTATACCCAGACTCTCTGATTATTATCCTGGGGGATTTTAATAAGGGAAACTTGAGCCAGGAATTACCCAAATACAGTTTATCAAATGCCCGACCAGAGAGAACACTCTGGATCACTACTACACCACTGTGCGCCGAGCTTTTCGTGCTGTTCCGCGAGCAGCCCTCGGCTTCTCAGATCACTCCATGATACATCTGATCCCTGCCTACAGACAGAGACTAAAGCTCTCGAAACCTGTAGTGAGGAGTTCCAAAGTGTGGTCTGATGCATGGAATCTACAGACTGGGACCTTTTCAGGGCTGCCACAGACAGTTTGGATGACTACACGGACAATGTGACGTCATACATTCACTTCTGCGAGGATAGCATTATTCCAACAAGGACCAGGATCATCTATAACAATTACAAACCCTGGTTCACTGCTAAACTCCGGCAGCTCAGGAAAGCAAAGGAGTCTGCTTTCAGTCTGCGCCAGTGAGCTTACTGTTCACTGACATTTTCAACTCCTCTCTGCAGTCCTGCCATGTCCCGGCCTGCTTCAAATCCTTCATCATTGTCCCCGTCCCGAAGAAGCCCAGGATCACAGGACTCAATGACTACATACCTGTAGCTCTTACGTCTGTCGACATGAAGTCATTTGAGCGCCTGGTCCTCTCCCATCTCAAGTCCTTCACCTCCCCCCTCCTGGACCCCCTGCAGTTCGCCTACAGAGCCAACAGATCTGTAAACGATGCCTTTAACCTGGCCCTCCACCACATCCTACAGCACCTGGACTCCCCGGGGACCTACGCCAGGGTCCTGTTCGTGGACTTCAGCTCTGCCTTCAACACGATCCTGCCATCCCTGCTCCAGGACAAGCTCTCCCAGCTCAACTTGCCCGATTCCACCTGCAGGTGGATCACTGACTTCCTGACAGACAGGAAGCAGCGAGTGCGTCTGGGAAAGAATGTCTCGGACTCTCGGATTATAAATACAGGAGCCCCACAGGGCTGTGTTCTTTCTCCCCTACTCTTCTCCCTGTACACCAACCACTGCACCTCCAGCCACGACTCTGTGAAGCTGATCAAGTTCGCGGACGACACCACCCTCATTGGACTCATCTCCAACAACGATGAGCCCGCCTACAGGAGGGAGGTGGACCGGCTGGTGTCCTGGTGCAGTGGTAACAACCTGGAGCTGAACGCCCAGAAGACAGTGGAGATGATTGTGGACTTCAGGAAGAGCACTGTCCCCCCGCCCCCACCCTCCGTGATGGACCATCAGTTCCCTCATCAAGAAGGCCAGGCAGAGGATGTACTTCCTGCGGCAGCTCAGGAAAGCCAAGCTGCCTGCACAGATGTTGGTGCAGTTCTACACGGCCATCATCGAGTCAGTCAAACCGGCTGAATGTTATCGTTTGTTTTGTTTGGCTCGAAATATAGTATTCAATCAAAGCCTGACTACGAAAAGTACACACAAAAATAAGGAGCAGCAACAATTGTAACAGCTGTTTCGACACAAGAGAGAAGTATGGATATCCACCCTTGAACAGCTTCAGCACTTTTATACTTCAATTGAATTAAAACAAGGTTATATCACTATTCACCAGGTCCATATGTGTACGTTTCAGCCAGTGGGGGAGGTCCCAGCTCAAAAGTGGCCAAAATTACGTGCGCTGACATAGGGGTGGGAACCTAAGGGTACCTCACGATACGATACGATACACAATACAAAGCTCACGATAACAATAATATCACGATAACGATATCACGATAACGATATCACGATAACGATATCACGATAACGATATCACGATAACGATTATTGATATATTGGTCAGAAATATACAATATGCCAATTTATGGCATAAATAAAAGAAAAAATACTCTTTATTTCGTGATAAATAGAATGGAGATGCGTAATGTAGCGATATTAAGTATTGATACCAATTGAAAAACAAAATTGTAAACAAAATTGTAAAAAAAAAAATTTTTTTTTTTTTTCAAAATCGATATCGATACTTGGCAAATGCATATCGATAATCGAATCGCGGGAGAAAGTATCGCGATATATCAAAAAATCGATATATTGTCACACCCCTACGCTGACAGGCTTGCAATAGTACCCCGGGCCGATGGGGGCGGACCCAGAAGAAGAATTAGCCAATGCTAACATATAGCATTGGCAGACCTCTCAAAAAACATCTGTACAGGATGGACCAAAAGTTGGCTCTTGGCCCAAAGCTCCGTTCCACATGTGTGTCAATGCTGAGGGGGGTGAATTTTTTCACAATTTTCTTGTGGGCGGGACCACTCGTGGCCATTTTGGATAGCTCCAGTAGAGCAAATTTTTTGGCCCATTAGTTAGAACGGCGGAGATGGGCGTGACTCTGTCCGTTATTATATACAGTCTATGGTTTCAGCTGATAATCCATGTAAAACTCATCGTATTCTTATCTCGTTCCATGAGGAGAGAATAGGCTGATGGATGCATGCTAGTGTATGGATAATCCACCACAAATGTATAAAATGACAGGATTACTTTGCGGTCGCAGCATGACACACTCCACTTGGACTAGCTCTTTGCATGGGGAGTGTTGTAATTAGTTTAAATCTGTGGTAAGCTGATGATACATTGGACTGACCTTTCTGAGCCCTTTGAGACCAACCCTGTTCTCCACCCAGTCGTCTGACTGGGTTACAATCAAACATCCAAGAGTGCGGCTTACATAACCCAAGCAACAACGGACAAATAAACAACTCCTCTCCAAATCATACCATCAAATGCCAGCATAAAGCTACAAAAAAAAGTTTTTCATTGCTTGTACAAAATTAGCTTCTTTGTGTTGCTAAAGGAGGATATCAGTGTGTTTTATTTTAGCCTTTCCCATGTCCGTGGATTTGAACTAGTTCCAAAGTAAATAATGCCATAAATAATCCAAAAAGGGGAGAAAGTGGATGTAAGACAGAATGTGGGAAAAGGTTTGTTATATTGCTGTAAATTTCTGTTTGAATTTTATTTTAGGGATGTAAAAACATTCAAAGAGTGACTCTTCCATCTTTTTAAATCAGTATTGAGACTTCAAATGTTCAAAATATAATACAAACATTTACGAGCAGAAGACAATAACATAATAGACATGATAACGTTTTCGTTTACGTATTTATACACCAATGTTGTACTTTATTTAATTATTTCTTCCTCATGGTTGAGGGAAGAAAATGGCACAGTAGAAACAATGCAAGTAGCTGATGTCTTTGTTGTGTAAAAGTACTTTTAGTTTCCTAAATATTCCTAAAGAAATAAAAGCTCAAACACACTTTTGCCAGAGGTACCTTGCACAGACCTTTATATCTACGCCGACAGGAAATCACATATTCAATGAGATTCTACAACGAGAGGCACTTACTGTATCTCCAGCAAATCTGTCATATGAATAATGCAATAGGTTAGGGCCACTTCTATCCGAGTACAGTAGACAATGTAGAGCTAACGATAACAAGAATCCACCTCATTGAACATTACTGACTGTTTTTCATTGCACAGCTGTGTAAAAGAAAAAGATGAACAGCAGTAATATCCATGAAACTGGAGCTGGAACGTTGAACTCCAATCTGTTGAATTTGTAATTGTATAACATTGGACATGCGCCTGGAGATAGTACCTCGCTAGCCCCCGCCGGCGGGGGCTAGCAATATCCTCACAGTTTAATCCCCGTTTGAGCATTATTTGGGAAACTCGTGTAAACCACTGCTGAACTCTAGTGAAACTCAAGCCATTTCCCGCGAACAGGAAGTGAGGTGGGGCTTTAGCTAAAACGCGGAAGTGGTGCGGGCATAGAGCAAGCCCCGGCGATCCAAGATGGTGCCCTATTCAAATGAATGGTTGTGCTCAGTGGCGCTTTGTGACGGCATGGGGGCTGAAAGATTAGCAGAAGTCGCCTGGAACTCGCAAAGATCTATGGGAAACTCGCAAAGATCTATGGGAAACTCGCCTGTATTTTGGCATCGTCTGGTCCTCCCGGTTCTGCGCAGTGGATGATCTCCCATAATGCGTTGCGCCAAACACGCGTGTGTGGGTCTCACACCGGGTCTTACGCACGTGCACAGAGGGGCTCGACCGCGCTCTGACCAATCAGAGCAGTTCAGAGCGGGAGTTCGAGCGAGAGCCAGACGAGCAGAGTTTGTGGCACTAAAGTATGGATTTAAACAAAACCGAAGGATTTAAGTAGAAAAAAAGTTCAGGATGACAAGGGACACTAAAATTCCCACAAAAGCTGAGGTTGAGCTGTTTTAATATGCATTGAGTCCTATGGGGAAAATTTTTGGGTAGCCCACGTGAATTTAGTCTGGTCTAGTCTGCAGTACCGCGAGAATCCCCTGAGCACATGAGTTATTCAGCTACAAGCTAGTAATACCCTATCCAGTTATTATAATAGATCCATGGCATAGAGCCCATTTGTTGCATCCTGTCACTCCCGTATTCGTCCCGGAAACCGGATTCGTTCCGAAGTTCAGTTTGCGCATGTCAAAAAGTGAAATAAGTCCTTAAGTGGTGACTGGTTAAGTTTAGGCGTCTGATTAAGATGGTTAAGTTTAGGGTTAAGTTGGGGTTATTTTATGGGAATGGCTGGTTAAGTTTAGGCATAAATAGGTAGTTTGTTTTATTTACTTCGGCTTCTGTCCAGATTCCGTGACGTAATCTACTCCTGCGTATGCTCATTGGATCAAACTGAACTTCCGGACGAATCCGGTTTCCGGGATGAATACGGGAGTGACACTTCCCACCGTTCAGATAACTCACCAACCAGTTTTGAGCCGGCCCCTTTATGCCATGATCTTCCATTTTTGTATTCATTAGAATATGATGGTCGATTGTATCAAAAGCTTTTGGAGGTCAATGAATATTCCTAGTACAATTGTTTGGTTTTTTTTATACCGTTTGTGAGTCTTCAATTAGGTCTATGAGAGCAACTGATGTTGATAGTTTTTTTTCTGAATCGATATTGAGCATCAGACAGTAAATTGCACTTACTTCCAGTATTTAGGAAAACTGTGGCAGAAGGGAGATAGGCCCATAATTATTGAAGGTACGTTTATTTCCTGTTTTGAATATTGGGATGACTTTTGCCCTCTTCATTTGGGAGGGGAAGTCGCCAAGTTGAAATTTCATTTCATTTTATTTATTCTTTTTTCATGGTAATGCAACATACTATACAATTGGAACAAATCAACAAACACAACAATAATACATTCCATGAAAAGAAGAACAGGAGTAGGATGAAGAAAAAAAATCTTATAAGCTCCTACCCCATTCTTTAAAAAAAAAAAAACATTACAAATTAGATGGCCACACCGATGCCAAAAGATAACAATAGCCCAGACCAGATGTAATCAGCTTTCAATTTTAACAAGTTTCTTTCTTTTTTTCCCGATTATTATTAATAATTTTGCTAAAACAACAGTGATGCAATGGTGACAACAGCGGCGACGGGAACAGCGACGAGTCCATCAAACCACACAACGCACACCCACGTGCACATACAGGGAGACATGCACGGACACACACAGGCACACCCACAGCACACACACAAAAGGATGGAGAGGATCTATTGACGTATTTGTGATGAGCCCTATGCTGTGTGTTGCATTAAAAAAACAAGGTTTGAGTGGGCAGCTGTCGAAAGATGTTTGACCTCCCACAGCTGCCCGGCACCTGCTTGCCCTACATTAGTGATTGACAGAGTTGTGCCCTAAGATAGGTGTTGTGTTTAAAAAGACAGGAGTTAGCGGAAGTCCAGAGGTGCTACACCCCTGACATTCCCTCCATTCCTGCTCACCCTGTACTGAAGAGGATGTGTATATGTACTCGTAATGAGCCCTATGCTGTATGGTGTATTTAAAAAAGCGAGGTTTGTGTGGGCAGCTGTTGAGAGACGTATGACCTCCCACAGCTGCTCAACACCCGCTTACCCTGCACTGAAAATTTGTTCCTCTTTTGTTTTTTGTTTTTTGTTTTTTCTTTTTTTTTTGCGTACTGTGAGCATACCTGTATACACCCATACAGACACACCCACACGAACACATAGGTACGCGCCACACAACCAGACAGTCCCGCCATCGCCCCCATCACCACCGCCACACCACTACATCACCACCATCGTTATCAGCACTGTTGTTGTAAATTTAACAATTTTCACATTCATCTTTGTACAAGTTAAGAATGTTCTGTTTATACTTATATTTAAATTGAAGAATATTTGAACAACATTTTAGATCTTTTTCTAGAGAGTTCCATTGTTTCACACCAGATACTGAGACACACATTTGTTTAAGGGCATTTCCTGCAAAAGGTTGTTTAAAGTCAGTATTTCTTCTACTTGTCTCACTATTTACAGTAAAAAGGGTTTGAAGTCCATGCGGTAACAGGCAGTGTTTTGCTTTATAAACAACTAATAAAGTTTGTAAAGAAACCAAGTCCTTTAATTTGAGTAGTCCTGACCTCAGAAACAGACCTGTAGTATGTTCTCTTGGAGCAACTCCATTAATTATTCTTATAGCCCTTTTTTGCAAAAGAAATAAGGGCATTAAATTAGTAATATAAGAATTACCCCATACCTCCAAACAATACATTAAATATGGCAAAATAAAGGAACAATATAAGATTCGCATTGCCTTGTAATTCAACATAAACTTTACTTTACTCAAAACAGCAATATTTTTACAAATTTTATTTCTTACGTAAGCTATGTGTGACTTCCACTTAAATTTATCATCAATGAGTACTCCTAAAAACCTGAATTCTGACACTCTCTCAATAGTTATTCCATTTAAAGTCAAATTAACACTTTCAAGGCATTTTTGATTTGTAAACAACATACATTTTGTTTTGTTTAAGTTTAACGACAATTTATTTTTATTAAACCATTTCTGAAGTTGGACCATTTCTTGTTCAATAGTTTTTATTAATGTTCCTAAATTCTTCCCCGATACAAAAAAATTGGTATCGTCCGCAAAAAGAACAAAACGTAAAATCTTTGATTCATCACAGAGGTCATTAATATATAAAATAAAAAGTTTAGGTCCCAGCACCCCATTGAAATGATCAATAAAATAAATAATCCCTGTTGCTATATTTTGTACAGTTCTCATGTCAATGTTGTCGATCTCTCGAGATGTTTTGTTCTTAAATATCCTTATAATACTTCCACTTTCCAACGGGATCTTTTTTGCAAATTCTGGGCTTATACTGGCAAAGAAATTATTAAAACCATCTGCAATATTCTTATTTTATCACTTATGATAATTTCGTTCTCCACCAAAAAACCCTGGATAACACAAGCTGGAGCTTCGGCCATTATTCAATATATTCCAAATTGCTTTGACAGCATTTTTTAGTTATCAAACATTTTTATAATACTCTTTTCTACTTACTCGCAATATACTGGTTAATTTATGTTTGTTTTTTTCATATCTCATTTAATTTTCTCTCGTTTTAATTATTTTTTTCTTTTAGCAAGTATTCGAGAGCGCTTTTGTCATGCATGGTGTTTTTGTTATGGTCCTTTTTGTTGCATTTTTTGACAGGATAAAGTTTGTATGCTGTGTTTACGTCTGCCGAATGGTAGATGGACTCCCAAGTTTGATTTACCAATTTTGTTTTTTAGAGCTATTGTTGTTTTAACCATCATTTTAAACTAAAGGCTTCTGGA